CATTAAGGCAGCAGCTGTGGAAGGAATCCTGTCTTATAGGTGACTATTTTTAAGTTCTAAGTTATCGTCTTTGTTGGTCATTTCCCCATTGTCCTCTCTTCCAGGATATCATACACGGATTTGAAGCTAATAATCGTTAGCATTAAACATAGATATATTTTGGGCAGGTCATAATCCTCTCCCAGGATGTCATCCATATACGAGGCAATAAGATCCCTAACTTCTGCATCGTAAGATTATCTGCCATTGGTATAGAGTAGTTAGTGTTATTACAAGCTTAAGCTGCCGGGATGCGAAACTTACGTTCAGCAATTTCAGGTTTAGGATTTTTTTACTTGTAGTAACTATGTTTGGCCAGCAGGTGGCACAGGTGTACCGCCAAGCATAGTTCCGCTGTGGATACTTGGTATGTTTCAAGTGGAATCTGAAAAATTCTAAGTAGCTTTTACAGAAATTTAGCAAGCAGGATTTTGTTAGAAGGACTGGAAAAGAGCCCCTCGCAGATTGCAGGGACCTGCAGGGAGGAAGGGGCTGAGTTTGGCTGGCCACCAATAAAGGAGAACACAACTGTGCGAGAAATCTCGTGAGACCGTGGAACCTTCCCTGCGGGAGGGGACATGAACACAGCCACAGGATAGCTTTTGGGGCGCTTGTTCCAGTGGTGAGCAGGGTCGCAGTGGGGCCTCATCATGTGCAGCTGCTCAGGGCTCCTTTCTTGCTGTCCACAGAGGCAGCTCTTGGGACTCTCGTTCTGCAAGCTCCATATGGCCCAGCAACTTGCTGGACGGGATGCAGGAATCATGCAGTGGGAGTGCCACGCAGGGCTGGCAGTTACTGCAGCGGCTGCTCACTGGCTCAAGCATGGGGCCCTGGTGTACTTACTTCCCCAAATCCCACTTCTAAGACACCAGATATTGGGGAATATTAAGCTACACAAGGGGCACAGGAAAGGCTTGGCATATGGTATTTTATTAGGGAGTAGTCACTTACATGAGAAGCTGAGAAACTAAGGTCAGCACTCTGCTGCTCTCTGAGACCCCATCAGAACCCCAAGAGAGCGTGCATCTCCTTTACCCCAGCTCTTTATCTCCCTTCCCTACTGTGTACCTGTGACCATGCCCAAATGGGTGTGGTCAGTGGTACAGCTACCTAAGATCTCTCCTTACAAATATACAGACATACCTACTGGCAAAACATACGTGCACATAAAGTAATTTTTTAAAAAACCTCAGTATTCACAAATTGCAAATCAATGTTTTTAAGTTTATTTTATGAGTATTTTGAGTGTGTGTATATATGTGCATTGTGTGCATGCCTGTTGCCCACAGAGGTCAGAAGAGGGTATTGGAACCTCTAGGGCTGGAGTTAGGGGTGGTTGTGAACCACCATGTGAGAGCTAGGAACCAAGCCTGGGTCCTGCAAGAAAAAAAAAATGCTTTTTATCTAGTAAGCCATCTCCAGCCTCAACAAGTCAATTTATTATTATTATTATTATTATTATTATTATTATTATTACTATTACTACTACTACTATTATTTGTATGCCTGTGCTGAGCATGTTATAGGCATTTACATTCAGGAGGCAGAGACAGGAGAGTCTCTGAAGGTTCGAGGCCATTCTGCTCTACACAGGGACTTTCAGACTAAGCAGAGATGCATATTGAGATGCTGTCTGATAAATAAATGAGAGAATGTGACAGTGTGTATATGTGTGTGTGAAAGAGATATATGCATATGCCTGAAGAGACAGAATAGGGCTTGGATTTCCAGGACCTAGGATTATAGATGGTTGTGAGCCATTCAGCATGGGTGCTGCAAAGCAGCTCAGGTTCTCAGCAACATGGCGGCAAACGCATTTAATCCTAGCACTCAGGAGGCAAAGGCAAGTGGATCTCTGAGTTAGAGAACAACCAGGGCTACACAGAGAAACCCTGTCTCAAACACACACACACACACACACACATGAAATCTAAAAAATAAACTATGAAGAAAAGAACATTGTAAGTACTGGTAAGGGTGTAGAGAAATTAAAACCCTTTTACTTTGTTAATAGTGGTATATGCTAGTTTCCCGAGAATAGAGTATAGTGGGCTCACTCATAACCCCAGCACTCAGTTAAGATAAATTTGTGGCCCACTTATAAATAGCCATAGTTATCATGACAGTCTTTATGGTTTAAAATGAGTGTTGTTGGGGGTTTTTGTTTGTTTGGTTGGTTGGTTGGTTGGTTGGTTGGTTGGTTTTCGAGACAGGGGTTCTCTGTATTGTTTTGGAGGCTGTCTTGAAGCTCGCTCTGTAGACCAGGCTGGCCTCAAACTCAAAGAGATCCACCTGCCTCTGCCTCCCAAGAGCTGGGATTAAAGGTGTGTGCCACAAACACCCGGCAAAATGAGTATGTTTTTGTTTTCGTTTTTGTTTTTAACTCCTTTTCACACCTCAGTGCTTATTTGTAGTTGTAAATTTAGCCTATCATGTCATTTTGTTGTATTTTTTTAAGAATTATTTATTTATGTATACAGCTTTCTGCCTGCAAGTATCCATGCAAGTCGGAGGAGAGCACCAGATCTCATTACAGATGGTTGTGAGTCACCATGTGGTTGCTGGGAATTGAACTTGGGACCTTTGGAAGAGCAGTGCTCTTAACCTCTGAGCCATCTCTCCAGCCTTCATGTCATGTTTTAAATGTATGTGGACAGAATTTTCTGTTTTTCCTGGTCCCACCATACTTCAGTCACAAATAAATACACAGAGCTTATATTAATTATAAACTGTTTGGGCCGGGCGTTGCTGGCACACGCCTTTAATCCCAGCACTCGGGAGGCAGAGACAGGCGGATCACTGTGAGTTCCAGACCAGCCTGGTCTACCAAGCGAGTTCCAGGACAGGCTCCAAAACAATACAGAGAAACCCTGTCTTGAAAAACCAAAAAAAAAAAAAAAAAATTTATAAACTGTTTGGCTGATGGCTTAGGCTTCTTAACTGGCTAGTTCTCTCTTAATTGTTAACCCAAAACTATTAATCTATGTATTTCTACATGGCCTTATCTTACCAGAGAATGCCTGGTGTCCTATCTTCCCAGTAGCTACATGGCTTCTCTCTTGTGGCTCCTCTCCACCTTCCTCTTCCCAGAATTCTGGTCTGGTAGCCCTCCCTATACTTCCTGCCTGGCTACTGGCCTATTAGCATTTATTCATCAACCAGCAAGAAAAACATGTATTCACAGCATACAGGACATCCCCCATCATCTGTACAAGCTAATTAAAATGTTTTCTGGATCCCTACAAGTGTAGCTCAGTTGTAGAGCACTTTCCTGGTGCTTGTGGGGCCCTGGGCTAGTCACCTGCACCATACATTTTATAAAACTAGATATGGTAGTGAATTGTAACATATATACTAATAAAAATAGATATACACCCTAGGCATTGGTGGCACGTGCTTTTGATCCCAGCACTCGGGAGGCAGAGGCAGGTGGATCTCTATGAGTTTGAGGCCAGCCTGGTCTACAGAGCAAGTTCCAGGACAGCCTCCAAAACAATACAGAGAAAAAAAAACTAGATGTACACATATGTGTGGCTATCACAGAGGATCAATATTCTGGGCCAGTAGTTTTCAGTGGGGGAGTATTTTTTGCCCTTTTGTAGTGGGCATAGGCAGTGTGTGGTGTTTGAATATGCAGGATGCTATTGACATCCTACATTGAATTAGACAACTCCCCCACAACAAAGCATTACCTAGGGTTGATCAGACAAGAGTTTGATACCTGGGACACACATGGCAGAAGGAAATAACTGACTCCTGAAAAGTGTTCTCTGACTTCCACATGCTTGCTCTAATACCTGCCCACCCTGACACACATTCACACATGCACTCCTGATTTAAAAAAAAAAAATACTGTTAGCTGGGCATTTAATCCCAGCGCTCAGGAGGCAGAGGCAGGCTGATCTCTGTGAGTTCCAGACCAGCCTGGTCTACAGAATGAGTTCCTGGACAACCTCCAAAGCTACAGAAAAACCTGTCTTGAAAAAAAAATACTGTTTTATTAGATCTTTTTTATTTTATGTGAGTGTCTTGCCGCATGTGTACCACAGGCATGCTTGGTGCATACAGAGACCAGAAGAGCACATCAGATCTAGGTCTGGAGTTAAGTTGCTTATAAACTGCCATGTGGGTGCTGGGAATCATACCCAAGATCTCTGGAAGAGCACCCAGTACTCATAACCACTGCGCATCTCTCACAGCCCTAATTTAAAAAAAAATATGTCTGGTGGTGATGGCATTCGCCTTTAATCCCAATGCTAGGCAGCCTAATCTCTGAGTTCCAGACCAGCCTTGTCTACAGAGCCAGTTCCAGGACAGGCTCCAAAGCTACACAGAGAAACCCTGTCTTGAAAAACTAAAAAAGAATAAAAGAGTGCTGAAGTCGGGAGACTCTGCTATAGATTAGGCCATTCAGTCCATAATTTCCCACAGCAGAACTGCAGACACATCTTGTTCCCTAGTGACACTTGTGCTGCTTCCTCTATGAGAACACCTGAGAGTAATTAGCTCCATCAGTAACCACTGCTTATTTCTTCACACATGATCCAAGTGACAGCAGGGCCTGTATCTCCATAGGTGGTACTGTCTAGAAGTCCTCACACAGCTGAAGAAACTCAGAATGACCCTCTCAAAACTGCTAATCCCATCCTTGAGGGGGCAGCCTTGTGACTGACCTTCATAGTATCACCCCGGTGTATATTCTGAGTGGGAAGGTTGAGCGGCCTAACTACATCTGTCATCAGTCAAATATTCCAGAGAATAGTATTTCTTCTTCCTTCTGAAATATATTATGTAGTCATAGCATCTGGTTAAGAAACCTCTGTGCATCTCTGGCACTCAGAGATCCCCTCCTGGGTGCTGGAATTAAAGACTTTTCCCCCACTCCACCCCTGGCTGGGATAGGTGAATGTTTGAGTTATAGATAAAATGAGACTGTTCATTCCCCTTCCCTCTCTTTCCAGGCTTTTGTAGAGACCATGTTTGCCAGTAAAGCGCCAATAGATGAAGCCTTTCTTTATGCAAAGGTGAGCTTTATGCAAAGGTGAGCTTCACGTAGCAGTAAAGGTCCTGTGGGGGCAAATGTCTGCTCAGTTCCCTGGTTCACAGATGACATCCATTGTCTTGCAGGCAGGCAGAGTAGTGACAGCTTATCCTTCTCATTTTACTGTTAACTTATGCATCGAAAGTGTGTAGTGTCACACTGAAGAAAAGTGCAGAGTGTGAAAGGAGACCAGCCCTGATACGTATAAACGGAGGGGGGTCTGAGGCAGAGCGTAGGTGGAGCCTTCAGGCTGTACTGAAGGAGGCAGAATGGGCAGTTTCCCAGCATCCATTTACCTAGAGTGTTTAGGTTGGCAACTATTTGAAAAGCTAAAGTTAGCCATTTTAAGGTATTGTTAAAAATATAAGCCATACCAAAAAAAAAAAAAAAAAGCCGGGCGTTGGTGGCGCACGCCTTTAATCCCAGCACTTGGGAGGCAGAGGCAGGCGGATCTCTGTGAGTTCGAGGCCAGCCTGGTCTACAAGAGCTAGTTCCAGGACAGCCTCCAAAGCCACAGAGAAACCCTGTCTCGAAAAAACCAAAAAAAAAAAAAATATATATATATATATATATATATATATATATATATATATATATATATATGCCATAAAGCCGGGCGTTGGTGGCGCACGCCTTTAATCCCAGCACTCAGGAGGCAGAGGCAGGCGGATCTCTGTGAGTTCAAGACCAGCCTGGACTACCAAACAAGTTCCAGGACAGCTCCAAAGCCACAGAGAAACCCTGTCTCGAAAAAAAAAAAAAATAAAATATATATATATATATATATATATATATATATATATATATATATATATAAGCCATATTATATTGTTGAGTTGATGAGAATAGCCTTCTTTACAGATTTTGTCTGTCTTCTTCTGGACTTACTTTGAAAACCAGAGAAAGCTTAAATTACAGGAGATTAAATATCAGATTGAGGCCAGACGTATTGGTACATGTCAGATTGCAGCACTGAGGAAAGGGACACATGTGGTTCAGGGGTTCCGGGTCTTCCTCGACTCTATAGTAAGCTTGAGGTCAGTCTGGGCTACATGCGCTCCTATCTCAATGCATGTATGTGGTAAAGCTGGGAGACAGGGTTGATGCCAGAGGGCACATTACAGACTAGAGTGTGACGACCAGTGTTCCAGTAATGACTTACAGTAAGCGCCTCTGTGGTGGCTGAAGACGGCCTGTGCTGGGACAGTTCCATGAAAATTGTGAGAGTCAAACTTTGTTGTTCTTCACAGTTTGAATTTGAATGCCGGGCCCGAGGTGCAAACATCTTAGCCTACCCACCTGTGGTTGCAGGCGGTAACCGCTCCAACACTTTGCACTATGTGAAGAATAATCAGCTCATCAAGGTAATCAGAGCCCTGCAGGCTGCTCCCCAAGAGGTCCAGGGTCCCCAGTAGAAAGCTCACCACCCTTCCCTCACCAATGGAATGTCATTTAAAAAGCATTTTATTATTTCTAAAATGGTTTTGCGGATGTTATTTCATTAGTCCTTAGAGTAGCCCTGTTAGGTAAAAACAGTTACTGGCATGCTCACTTAGTGGATGAAAAAGATAATCGCTAAGCATTATCAAGCCACAGTACACACTCTGTCTGAGGCAGCACTGAGCCAAATGGGCAGCCTCCAGAGTGCAGACTGTAAGCATGCCTGTGGAGCTCCCTGAACTGGAGTTTTCCTTTGTGGGTTTACTCAGCCCACTAATTCAGTATCTCTGTTTTCATGAATTAATTGTGGTAGTAATCGTGTCTTTGTTTTATCTTTTTTGGTTGGTTGGCCAGAAGTCACAGTGGAGTAACCTAGAGGCTTTGTGACATGATACTCAACAACTTGAGCTCCAAGGCCATTGTAAGACTACCTACCTTTCCCACTAAGCTAAACAGAAACTCATGAAAATTAGAACATTACATTTTATTTTTTATTTAGAAATATCGTTTGTTTCATAAACATGTCTCTTCAGTAATAGAGTTTTGGGGTGGGATTAAGAGACAAGTCTAACCCTGTGGCCTGGGCTGCCTATAAACTCCTAGCCTTAAGCTGTCATGCTGTGTCAACCTTCTAAGAGGAGCTGGGACACCAGACATATGCAGTATTTTGGGGGATTTTGTATTGTTGTTTGCAGTTCTAGGGATCAGACTTGGGGGGACCATGGGTACTCTAACCACTGAGCTATACAGTGAGCACACAATTGGTTTGTTTTTGCTTTATTGGTTTTTTTTTCATTTCATTCAGATTTAAAGATCCCATTCTCAGAATTTATTGTAAAAAATTAAAACAAATAGAATTGCTTGTCTATTCATTTTTGTAATTAAATGTATTTATTTCAAATTTCTTTTAAACTGCTTTTTTTTAGATCTATTTATTATGTATAGTGTTCTGCCTGTATGTTTTGCCTACATGCCAGAAGAGGGCACCAGATCGCCTTATTGATGGTTGTGAACATGTTCCATGTGGTTGCTAGGAATTGAACTCAGGTCCTCTGGAAGAGTAGCCAGTGCTCTTAACCACTGAGCCATCTCTCCAGCCCCACATTTTTTTTTTTTAAGACAGGGTTTCTCTGTATTGTTTTGGAGGCTATCAGTCCAGCCTGGCCTCGAACTCACAGAGATCCACCTGCCTCTGCCTCCCGAGTGCTGGGATTAAGGCGTGCACCACCACCACCTGGCTAGATTTATTTATTTTTATGTCCTTGTTTTTTGTTTTTTGTTTTTTCCTGCCTGCATGTATGTCTATGTGGGGGCATTGGATCCCTAGAACTAGAGTTCCAGACAGTTATGAGCTGCCATCTCTCCAGCCCCACAATTGTTTTGTTTTTGTTTTTTTATATTTGTTTATTTTATGTATATGGGTGCTTTGTTTTCTTCCATACCAGAAGAGGGCATCAGATCTCATTACAGATGGTCATGAGCCACCATGTGGTTGCTGCGAATTGAACTCAGGTCCTCTGGAAGAGCAGCTAGTGCTCTTAACCTCTCAGCCATCTCTCCAGCCCCCCACACACAATTTTTTTTTTTTTTTTTTTGGTTTTTTGAGACAGGGTTTCTCTGTGGCTGTTGGAGGCTGTCCTGGAACTCGCTTGGTAGTCCAGGCTGGTCTCAAACTCACAGCAATTCGCCTGCCTCTGCCTCCTGAGTGCTGAGATTAAAGGCGTGTGCCACCAACGCCAGGTTCACAATTATTATTTTTAAGTGACTTTAATACTATAAATTTTTTTCTTAATTTCTTAATGTGATAATAGACATGTTATTTCCAAATTTACAATGTTATAAACAGTGTTCTTTGGGAATTATCGCCTTTGCCCTGACATATGAAAATATCACCTTTATCCAGGGGATACTAATATTGGAATTTTTGGGTTCAAAGGTACACATATTTGCGATACCAAACATTTCCAAAGTGATTATAGCAATTTTTTTCCCAAGATAACTGTATACATTTTTCTACCATTTTGTCTGCTTTTTGTGTATGCCTTACTGTCCTCTATAGACAAGGCTGACCTCAAACTCAGAGATCACCTGCCTCTGCCTCCCGAGTACTGGGATTAAAGGCGTGCACCACCACTGCCTGACTAAATACCACATTTTTGTACCATTTTTATTTATATATGACAAAGATATGCCCTATCTTTAAGGGCATGAGTTGATCAGGACACATACACTTCTCAACAGTTTCTTCTTTCCTGTGTGTATGATGACAGCAGAAGAGGGATGCAAAAAGTAAGAGGCTAAGAGTAGTGAATCTGTGTTAGTTCATGACCAGCCGTGTCTACATAGCAAGTTCAGACCAGCCAAAGCTGTACCCAGACCATAAGAAAAGATGCTAAGAGTAGTTGTGTTCGGTAAGGAGGCAGAACTGGGTTGAGGGTGGTTGTGAGCCACCCCGTGAGTGCAGGGAATGAACCCAGCTCCTCTGCAAGCACAAGTGCTCTTAACCATCAAGCCGTCTCTCCAGCGCCCCCAGAGACATTTAGAGGAGAAGAAACAGCTTGCAATTGTAAGGCTGCTAGATTGCTATCTCCTTCCCTTTCTTTGTTCCAGGATGGTGAAATGGTGCTTCTTGATGGAGGTTGTGAATCTTCCTGCTATGTGAGTGACATCACCCGGACATGGCCTGTCAATGGCAGGTAGGGATTCTACAGAGTAACCTGCCTCGTGGCATCTTAGGATTTCAGTTGGTGTAGGGATATATCTAGAATAAGTGACTCTTATATGTCAAGTCAGCTGTCTCTACAAAGCTTTTTACTGTTTTTATTTTTGTTTTTGGCTGTCTTGTTCATTATGTAGCATAGTAAGTCACAAAGACTTAACGTATGAACCACATGTACTTTGCTTTGGTGTTTCCATTTGTAGTTTTCTTTATTGCTTTTTTCCTTCTGATTATAATGTCTTATTCATGGTGCAGTAGTATATCTTCATTGGGTTAACACTCCACAGATAATGATTATACAATCTCAACAAGATATTAACAATTTGGGGTCGGGCGTTGGTGGCCCACGCCTTTAATCCCAGCACTTGGGAGGCAGAGGCAAGTGGATCTCTGTGAGTTCGAGGCCACCCTGGTCTACAAGAGCTAGTTCCAGGACAGCCTCCAAAGCCACAGAGAAACCCTGTCTCGAAAAACCAAAAAAAAAAAAAAAAAAAAAGATATTAACAATTTGAAGGCACTAGAGATTATCCACTATAGGCAAATCTTTAAATCTTATGTATATATTGTTTGTTTATTTTTTATGTGTATGGATGTTTTTGCTTGCATGTATGGGCACCATGTATATGAGGTACCCACAAACAAGAAGAGGGCATTGGATCACCTGAAGCTGGAGTTATGAACAGCTGTGAGCCAGGGCTGGAGAGAGAGCTCAGAGGTTGGGAACACTGGCACCTCTTCCAGAGGACCTGGGTTCAATTCCCAGCACCCATTTGGCAACTCACAACTGTGTATAACTCTAGTTCCAGGGGTTCTGACATCCCCACACAGACAAACATGCAGGCATACCCAGTCACATAAAATTAAAATAACTAAATCATTTAAAAAAAATAACATCAGTGAGCCATCATGTGGGCTCTGCAGCCAGTGCTCTAAACTACTGAGCTATCTCTCCAGCCCATGTAAATCCTCTTAAAATAACTAGAATAGCTAGGCAGTAGTGGCACAGCCTTTAATCCCAGCACTCTAGAGGCAGAGGCAGGCAGATCTCTGAGTTCAAGGACAGTCTGGTCTACAGAGCAAGTTCTAGGACAGACTCCAAAGTAACACAGAGGAGAAACCCTGTCTCAAGAAAGAAAATAAATAAACAAATAAATAAATCAATCAAACCTTAGAATGGGTAGATTTAGTAGATTTAGTGATTAGAGCTTCAGCTCAAGGCTATTTTCCTCATTTTTTTTAAAATTTAGTTTTAATTGTATATGCCTGTGTGCATGTGCACACAGTGAAGACCAGAGGCATTAGATGCCCTGAAGCTGGACTTACAGGCAGTTGTGAGCTGAATGACATGGGTGCTATGAACTAAACTCAAGTCCTTGGTAAAAGGAGTAAGTCATTTTGACCACTGAGCCATCTCTCTGCCCAGCCCTAAGGGCATTTCCTAGTCCACAGTACAAAGCCATTGTAAAACCAGTCTCAGCAGCTTAAAGTAGCAGAGAACAGCTGGGCAGTGTGGTGCACACCTTTTATCCCATCACTCTGAGGCAGAGGCAGGTAGATCTCTTTGAGTTCAAGGCCATCCAGGATAGCCAGGGCTACACAGAGAAACCCTGTCTCATCAAAAAAAAAAAAAAAAAAAAGACAACATATTTAGGTCCTGGCAAACCAGAAATTCTTGAAGAGAAGGAGCTCTAGAAAGCAAACCCCCAGGTCTTCATATGAAATATTCAGAAAACTTTGCTACAGAGAGAGACACTAGAGTGCTCAGTAAAATACCAATAGCTGGAAGCTGAGTAAACTAAGCAGAGAGATTCTGGTTGCTTTGCTTTGAGAGCAGTTGTGCTTTGGATCCAGGCAAGGTGGGAAAATCACTCTTCAGAAGAGCATAACCCCTAGAACAATCAGGAAAATAATACAAATAAGTATACCTAACAAGCCAATAAAGAAATTAAAGTGAAATGCTTTTTAAAAATTGGGGGTCTGACCAGATGGCTTTAGTGGGTGAAGGCAATTTGCCACCAAGCCTTATGACCAGAATTTAAACTATCCTGGACTCACACAGAGAGACCTTGACTTATCCACTATCCTCCAGTCCTCTAAATGTGCACCGAGGCATGAATTCGTCTGCATACATACTCAAATGCAACTAAAATAAGAATTTTGCTTCTAAAAGAAATGTTATTGACCCAAAAGTAGATAGGGAAGAAAAAAAACAAAAGCAGACACATGCACACACACACAAAGATGAAGAAGAAAATAACAAAAATGACAGGACTAAATACAGCTATATCATTAATGACACCAAAACTGTTTATAAATGAAGCCCCTTTATTTTTTAATATTTGGAAATGGTCTTGAGATACACTCCAGGCTAGCCTCAGACTCACTATGTACTCACTCATACTGACCTTGAACTCAACAATCTTCCTCCCTTCACCTCCAGTTAACCCAGAAGGCCAAGGAGGTGAATATCTGTGACTTCCAGGGCTGCATAGTTAAGACACCCCACAAAAGCTGTAGGAAGTATAGGCATGCACCATCATTCCTGACCAAAAAAAAAGCCCCTCTTTTAGGTTGGGGAGGTGGTCAAGCAGGGTTTGTCTGTATGACCCTGTCCTAGAACTCACTCTGTAAACCATGCTGGCTTCAGACTCAGAGTTCTGCCCACCTCTGCTCCAGAGTGCTAGGATTAAAGATATGCACCACTACCTACCTCCCAGCACAAAAATCACTTTAAATAGAACTCTTAAACTCATGAAAATAAAAAGATGGAGGAAGACATTTCCATGAAAACATCAAACATAAAGAAGCTAAAAAGGTATGACTTCCTGATGTTTTGGCTAAGATCAGGTGTAGAAAACTGAAACAGTGACATTAATGCAGACAAACATCAGAACATGAGTGTGGCTGGAGGTAGAACAGAGCATTCATGATAGCGACAGTGGAAATGAGTGCATAGGTTCTTAAACCAGGTCCAGAGTACACAAAGCAAAACTGAGAAGACTGAAGAGAGAGAAGTGAACGGCCCCAGGCAGTAGATTTACAGTCTTGTTCATTTATAGGACAGGTGCTCACAGAGATTATGAACTAGCTACAGGTCAAACAAATCAATCACACACACACACACACACACACACACACACACAGGCATTTTTTGTTTTGTTTTGTTTTGTTTGTCTTTTTTTTTTTTTTTGAAACATTGTTTCCCTCTGCAGCCCCAGCTCTCCTGGAATTCACTCTGTGGCTATCAGGCTGGCCTCTAACTCAAAGATCCTCCTACCTCTGCCTCTCAAGTACTGAGAGCTAGAGAAATGGCTCAGTGAGAAGAGTTCTTGCCCCTCTTCCAAAACCCATGGTGGCCTGCTCATAACTGCTTGCAGCTCGAGCTCCAGGGCCTCATCAGGCACTGTGTTCACATGCACAAACCAGGAACACATATGCATAACTTAAATAAAATCTCTGTTTTAATCTCCAAATGGTTGGGAAACAGTGAATATGAAACAGATGTGGTACTGTGCTTTTTTAAGCCAGGACTCAGGGAGCTGGAGCAGAATGATAAAGAGCTAAAGGCCAGGGACTGGAGAGATGGCTCAGCAGTTAGATAAGGACAGCCATGTCCACAGAGTGAATTCCAGGACAGCCACGTCTATACAGAGAAACCCTGTCCAAAAAAACAAAACAACAGCAACAAAAAACCAAATATTAGTGGAATACAGCTTAAGCAAAAATTTGTGTGACTTTTGTTTTCAACACAATCTCACTTAGTGACCCAAACTCTTGCACACTTACTGTGTAGTCCAGGCTGGCCTCAAACTTACAGTCCTACTGCCTTGACCTAATGAGTATTGGGATTACAGAGCCCTGTACCACCATGCCCAATTTAGAAATTATGAACTTTAAGTGTTTAAACTGAAAACCTATCATTCACAAGGTTTTGGGCTCAGACTGCAACAGTAGAAAGAAATAAAAAGGGCAAAAAGGTTTAAATCAGTAATGTAAATTTCCACCTTAAGAAACTATTGACAGCCTGGTCTACAGAGCGAAGCTCCAGGACAGCGTCCAAAACAATACAGAGAAACACTGTCTCGAAAAACAAAAAACAAAAAACTATTGAAGGGCCAGTAATGGCTAGCTGGTAAAATACCTGCTGCCAAGCCGGCCTACCCAGATACCTAACTGGCATTCCTTGGCTTTCCTTTACCTAGATTCACCGCACCTCAAGCAGAGCTCTATGAAGCTGTTCTAGAGATCCAGAGAGCGTGTTTGACACTGTGCTCCCCTGGGACAAGTTTGGAGAACATCTACAGCATGATGATGACCCTGATGGGACAGAAGCTTAAAGATCTGGGGTTCATGAAGAGCAGCAAAGAAAATGCCTTCAAGGTAGCTCCTTCCTCCTCACCCAGCCCTTAAGAACAACCAGCATGCTGCTCCACTTTAGTAAAGCTAAATAGTCTTAGACGCTGTCTTTGCAGTTCTTTGTAAAATGGATTTAGCTTTAATGTGGATTAAAACAAAGGGAGTTGGTACTTATTTTTGCCAGAAGATGGCAGCACATCCCGATTCATTGCGGGCTATAGCACCAGTGTAGTACTCAGAAAACAAAAGTCAACTCTACAGGCAGAGTGGGAAGGAACACAAACAAGGAGACAAGGTTAACTCCTAAGCCTTCCTGGGGACTCTGGAGGTCCGAGGGGAGGCTGTTTATTGGTCCAATTACATTATTGAGACTTGGAAAAATGCCCAAGGGCTACATCTTTAATGGGTTTTGTCTGTATCTGAATGTAATGGTATTCATTATAATTGCAAAAACCTGAGCCACACAAGCATTAGGCATCTTCCATCTCCAAGTTTAGACTGCCAGGACTCCTATTAGCTAAAAAAGAAGTTACTAATTCCCTGTGCCAAGCCAGCAAGTATTTAACTGGTCGAAATATCCAAGTAGTGAATATACAGTCATGCCTATCCCATAATTTGATGTGGAATACTTAGGTTTCAGAGTAGGCTACCCAAGGGAGTGTGAGTTATATCTTCTTTTTTATTTCATTGGTGGCAGGGGCAAAGTCTCATAACCCAGGCTGGTCTTGAATTCCTGATTCTCCTGTCTCTGCCCACCAAGAGCTAGGATTATAAGTGAGTGCTCATGGTTTGTATTTCCTCCTTTTGTTTGTTGGTTGGTTGGTTAATTTCAAGACAGACTTTCTCTGTGTAACAGCCCTGGCTGTTCTAGAAATTGCTCTGTAGAACAGGCTGTTCTCAAATTCACACAGATCTGCCTGCCTCTGCCTCCCAGGTGCTGGAATTAAAGGTGTGTGCCACCACTGCTCTGCAAATTTCCCTTGTATGACTTGAAAGAATAACAACATTGCTGTCCTCGCTTTTCCCAAAAAAGGATACTCCTCCCCCCCCTCATGCTAGAGATCAAAGTGAAGACCTTGCATATGGTAGGCAAATACCACTGAGCTTGTCCCAAAATGGTTTTGTTTTGTCAGTTATTACTGGATTTCTTTAGCCCATGTATAAATTTAACAGTGAGATAGAAGGCGATATCATAAGTATGCTAAGGGTGCAGTTGCATAGAGGAAGTAACAGTTTGCCAGGCATGGATGTGGCTTAGTGAGTAAAGTGTTTTCTAATACAAGCATGAGGACCTGAGTGCAGGTCCCCAGCATCCACAGAAAAAGGTAGGTGTGGAGGCTGAAGAGATGGCCCAGAGGTTGGGAGCACTGGCTGCTCTTCCAGAGGTCCCAGGTTCCCAGCACATACGCAAAGGCTCAAGAACACCTGTAACTAAGTTCTGAGGGTCTGATACCCTCTTCAGGCCTCTGAGGACAAACACACTAAAATTAAATAAACCTTAAAAAAAAAATGAGTGGTGCAGGCCTTTAATCCTAGCACTCCAAGGCAGAAGCTGGTGGGTCTCGAGTTCAAGGGGATCCTGGTCAACAGAGTGAGTTCCAAGACAGCCAGGCTACACAGAGAAACCCTATCTCTTAAAAAAAAAAAAAAAGCTAAGCACAGCAGCCTATTCCCATAATCCCAGCTCTAGGTAGTGGAGACCAGAGAAACCTCTGGGGACTTACCCCTTAATCTAGCCAGCCAATAGTTCCATGTATAAAGTCAGGCGCCACCTGACTGATCTGATGGCCTGAGATCATCCCCAGAACCCTACATGGTAGGAGGAGAGAACAGGCTGTGCTCTTACCTCCACACACACATTGGGCATGCACACCCACACAAAAACACAACCAGTCAATCAAACAAGGTAAAGTTCTCACGGCCACTGTCAACTCTGGCTTCAGCAGGCATGCTCATGAGCCTGTGAACCTGCACACAAGTGTACACCCATGCACACTCCCCACACCACAGTACACCCCCAAAAAAACCCTGCAGTTTGTTAGGTCTCTTAAGTATCAGTCCAAGGGTAGGATAAATAGAAATGGCAGAAACTAGCAGTTATTAGCACCACATCTCACTGATTTATCCATGCCAACTTTCCCTGTAGGAGCTCATTGCCCTGGTAATACTATGGTAATTATCTTTTCCAGGCTGCTCGGAAATACTGCCCTCATCATGTTAGCCATTACCTTGGAATGGACGTCCATGACACTCCAGACATGCCTCGTTCACTCCCTCTACAGCCTGGCATGGTGATCACAATTGAACCAGGTGAGGGATAGGTTAACCCCCAAGTATACATTGCTTGCTTTTATTTACAGAATGCAAAATATTTAGGTTTGTCTTGAGTTTTCTTATTTAAGATCTCATGGTTTGTTTAATTTGACTCCTCCAATAAACAACAGATGGCAGATACTTTCTGTAAGTCGATACTAAGAAATAAATCTTTTTTAATCCTGCCTTTGCCAGGGCCAACTTGTGATAGTCTCACAGTTAGTAGTGGTGGGTTGCGACGTCCTGCTACCTACAGTGAACTAGCCACCATCATCCCACAGACAGTTGCCTGACTATTGGACAGAGTAGAAAAGTGAAGCGGTGGCCACAGTGGGATGCGAAGGCAGTTAGGAGAGCAGACTATTAAAAATGGCACTGCCTGCATTGTAAGATCAGGACCCAAGTTCAAGGGTATGTGTGTTATGCCTGACTAATGAAGGTCTTTTTACATTGTTTGTTCTTCAGTTTTGTTTGTTTGGTTGGTTATTTTATGTTTTTTGAACAGGGTTTCTTTGTGTAACAGCCCTGGCTGTCCAGGAACCAGACTGGTCTTGAACTCACAGAGATCTACCTGCCTTTGTCCCCCTAGTGCTGGGATTAAAGGCTTGAGCTGCCACCACCCAGCAAGAAAATGTCTTTTTTTTTTTTTTGTCTTTGTTTTGTTTTGTTTTGTTTTTTGAGACAGGGTTTCTCTGTATTGCTTTGGAGGCTATCTTGGAACTTGATCTGTAGACCAGGCTGGCCTCGAACTCACAGAAATTCGCCTGCCTCTGCCTTCCGAGTGCTGGGATTAAAGGTGTGCGCCACCAACACCCGGCCAATAAATGTCTTTTTATGCTAGCCTATGAAGCAGTCAGTCTCATTGTGCTCTGGTTAGCAATGGCTGCTACAGTTGCAAGTGTTTGTATTTGTATCAAAGAGTATCTGAAGAAGTTTGCAGGTTCTTTTATTTGTTTTGTTTGTTTGTTTTGGGGGGTTGTGGGTTGTAGTTGGTTTTTCAAGACAGGATTTCTCTGTGTAACAGCTCTGGCTGTCCTGGAACTAGAACTGTAGACCAGGTTGACCTCGAACTCACAGAGTGCTGGGATTAAAGGCAAGCACCGCCATCTGACTTGTTTTGTTTTGTTTTGTTTTTGGAGATAGGATTTCTCTGTATAACAGTTATGGCTGTCCTGGAACTCACAGAGATCCGTTTGCCTCTGCCTCCCAAGTGCTGGCATTAAAGGTGGTGCTGGCTTAAATATGTTTTAATATATTTTATCTTTTTTAACTTCATTTTTGGTTCTGTTTTGTTGTTGTTTTGAGACAGGACTTACCTGTTATTGTAGGCTGATCTTTTTTTTTTTTAAAGATTTATTTATTACGAATACAACACCTTGCCTCCATGTACACATCAGAAGAGGGCACCAGATCTCGTTACAGATGGTTGTGAGCCACCATGTGGTTGCTGGGAATTGAACTCATGACCTCTGGAAGAGCAGTCAGTGCTCTTAACCTCTGAGCCATCTCTCCAGCCCCCTGTAGGGCTGATCTTAAACTCATTATCTAGCCCAGATACTCCACCTCAGCCTCCTAAGTACATGTGTGTGCCACCACAGCTGACTTCATACTATATCTTAACCAAATACCTTTTCTTCAGAGAATTTTTAGGAAAGGAAAGATATACATTTATGTAATCTGCTGGTTCCTAGTGTAAATAATGTTTTTGTAAATTAGTGACTTTTTAAATATTTGTTTGTTTGTTTGTTTGTTTATTGTGTATGCAATGTTCTGCTTGCACACCAGAAGAGGGCACCAGATCTCATTATACATGGTTGTGAGCCACCATGTAGTTGCTGAATTGAACTCAGGTCCTCTGGAAGAGCAGCCAGTGCTCTTAACCACTGAACTATCTCTCCATCCCTTTGAGGATTTTTGTTTGTTTCTTTGTTTGTTTTTAAATATTTAGTGACTGTCTTAAACCACTAGACCATGTAAGAGTCGTGATTGGTATTATCATAGTTGTATATAACCTGTAATGTACTATGCAAAATGTCTATAACAGTAGTAATTCTAGCTGATGAGAGCTTCATGTACACAGCTCTGCTGTGTGCAGTAGTTCATTTAATTCTCACAGCTTTGAGGTGAGTGCTGTGAAGATCTGTCAGGGACAGATGAGGAACTTGCTTCTGATCCACTGGCACTGTCACTGGTCACAGCCCATCTCTCTGTTTTTAGGCATTTATATTCCAGAAGATGACAGAGATGCGCCAGAGAAGTTTCGAGGTCTTGGAGTACGGATTGAGGATGATGTCGTGGTGACTCAGGACTCACCTCTTATCCTTTCTGCAGATTGTCCCAAAGAGATGAGTGACATTGAACAGATCTGCAGCAGGACCTCTTGACCACCACTGTAGCTGTTACCTCTCAGGTCCAAGGCTGGCATCTGTGCCTGTGCATGTAGTCAGTGTCTTTGTGGGGGATTAGACCCAGGTTCCTTGGGGAGTGCACAGCTCTATGAGTGATGTCCCTGTATATAAGGACATTTTCACGCTAAGTAGTTGATAATCTGGAAAGGTGAACTCTGGAACAATCTGTTACTAGGACTTTAGCAACATTAATCTGAAAAGTTAATGGCCCAGGTTTAACTTGTGAATGTAAAGTACGGTTTTAGTTGTGTGTGCCCATGCATTCCAAATCCATTTGGCAAAACCTTCTCTTCAAGCTCTTCCCTCCCTGCACTTCTGCTGAGATCCACTTAGTAGCCTAAGATGCTTGTGAGATGCCTGTATCTTCACTCTTAACCAAAGTTTCTGCCAGTACTTATCTTCCATGATCTCTGCCTCCCCAGCCAAGTTCTCCACATCTACTAGGACCTCTCAGGCTCAGGGAACACAGGTGTCCTGCAGTCTTTCCATTCAGCCAGGGTACAGCAGCACCAGCCAGTGAACAAGAGTCTTGGGTCTTTCCTGCCATTTGGGTGCGCAGCAGCACCTGGAAAGTGTCTAGGTTCTTCTAAGGAAGAAAATGAAAAATAAAGGAAAATATCTGCGTGTCCCCAAAGATCCAAGGCTTGAGCTATGTTTTCTTCAATTTAAAGGAGATTCTTTTTCAAATGTCCACCTTCCTGTCCTTCATAGATTCTTTTCTTAGACAAAATGTCACTGTGTGCCTCAGATCCCTCAGAGGTCGCTTTCCTTTGTGACAGGCTCTTAATGTAGCTGAGGCTGGCCTCAAACTACTGATCTTCCTGCACCCTGCCCACATTTATAGGGTTTTTGTGGTTTTTTGTTTGGTTGTTTTTTTTCAAGACAGAATTTCTCTGTGTAATAGCTCTACCTGTCCTGGAACTCACTCTGTAGACCAGGCTGGCCTCAAACTCAGAGAGATCTGCCTGTTCTGCCTTTAGAGTGCCAGGATTAAAGGTGTGCACCAAGTGATCCACTTCTTACTCTAAACTAGGGATGCAAAGGCAAAAAGTCATGTTTCTTTCCCTAAACACATCATCAGGTTCAGTTGTACAACCCAGCTTGCATGGTGAGCAGGGCAGGATTGGATTCATACAAATGCTTTATTCAAAAGCTTATGTGACAGAGGGAAGCCCTAACAGCTAGTATGTTGACTTCTTTTAAATCTGAGCATGTGCATAATACAGACAGACTGCACCCGGGCATAGTAGTTCACACCTATCATTATAGCACATACAAAACTGAAGCAGGAGGATTGCTATAGCCTAGGCTACAGGGTAAGACCCTGTTTCAAAAACGAAAATAGTAGTGTTACAGAGACTGCAAGTAGAAAGTCCTGCCCACTCTATTGTGTTCCTGCAGATCATATGTAAAGCATAGTGAGGTCCTCCACCAGTCCAAATAGAAGCTTAGCCTCCTTTATAACTGTGTGCCCAGAAACTCCTGCCAATTAAAATGAGTTGGGATTTGAGTTGGAGCCATTGCCACCACTAACAGACAGTAAATGAAAACATTGTTTATTAAACCAGGCAATGGTGGTGCATGCCTTTAATCCCAGCACTGGGGAGACAGCAGCAAGTGGATCTCTGAGTTTGAGGACAGTCTAGTCTGTATAGCAGTGAGTTCCAGGACAGCCAGGGTTACATAGAGAGGCCCTGTCTGAAAAAAACAAAGGAAAGAAAGACATTTAAATGGGTGCCCAAGCTGCTGGTGTCATAAAGAACACTGCACAGAGATGTTCTTACAGTATGGCTAGTATTTTTATTCTTCGCTTTCAGAAGTAGCATTGAAGGCCCAAACTGAGTAGATCATGTAAGTTTTAGAATTTACATTTCTTTAAATCTTCTTTAAATTGATGTGTTTTCAAATGTTCCTGGGGTGATGAAAAAGGTGATGGTGATGACATCATTAACTCCCAATACTGTGACAGATTGCTGTGGTCACAAGCCTCATGATTCTGGGCTTCTTCCTCCTATAGCCACTGAGAAGCTTTAATTGTCAGTATTGTATGGGTCAGGGGTCACCACTGGACTTTAGGCCCACAGGGCATGCACCCAGCAGAATCCAAAAACTGCAATCTTGGTCAACATTTCTTAATACTTTGTATGATTTTTGTGCAATTATAAGTTCTATTCAGGAAAAACGCTGTTACTCTTTAAACCCTATTCAATGGCAATGGATGTATTGTTCCCCAACAAGGGGAATGCATCGTTACTGTCATTTTTAAATATACTATGAAACAATGCAGAATTGTATGGTGTATGTATTTATTTTAGCCTCGTGGTAGTTTAAATGAGTTATGACCATAGGTTCATGCATTTGAACTCTTAGTCGCCAGCTAATGGTGCTGTTTGGGAGCTTAGGGAACCTTTGGGAGGGGAACCTTGCTGGAAGAAGTATGCCCTGGAGTCAGGCTGTCGGGGCTACAGCCTCATCTCACTTCATGCTCTCTCCTGGCTCTGCCTTCACCACCATTTGGACTCTTGTCTGGAAACATAAGCCAAAATAAACTTTTCTTTTTTCTTTGTTTGTTTTTCAAGACAGGGTTTCTCTGTGTAGCCCTGGCTGTCCTAGAACTGGCTCTGTAGACCAGGCTGGCCTGGAATTCACAGAGATCCACCTGCCTCCCAAGTGCTGAGACTAAATGCATACGGCAAATAAACTCTTCTATAAATGGCTTTCTGTCATAGTATTTCACACCAGAGCAACAGAGAAGTGACTAATGCAAGGCACTATTTGTAGATTTAAATGTAAGAACATTTTGATTTACAAAATATATTCTGTGAGTTCGTTGTTTGAAGGGAGGAAAAAGCAATGGATTTGATCCAGACTAACTCCACAAAACTGACCCATAGGGCTCTGGACAGTCCCTATCAGACCCAGCATGGTGCCACACAGCTCTAACTCTAGTAGCAGGCAAGATGGGGGAGGAGGATCACTAGTTTGAGTCCCAGGCCACTGTGCTGCATAATAAGATGCAACCTTGTCAGCCCTCATGCCTACAGAAATAAGTAGATCTCTGTGAGCTCAAGGTCAGCCTAAGCAACATGAGACTTTGCCTCAGAAGAAAAAAAAATAAACGGGCTGGAGAGATGGCTCAGAGGTTAAGAGCACTGACTGCTCTTCCAGAGGACCTGAGTTCAATTCCCAGCCACCACATGGTGACTCTCAACCATCTGTAACGGATCTGGCTCCTTCTTCTGGCCTGTGTGCATACTTGCAGGTAGAACACTGTATACATGATAAATAAATCAATCTTTTTTTAAAATCTGCATCTTGAAATGTAACCCAATAGCAGGCCAATTTGCATAGCACACACAACCCAGGCTAAAGCATACAAACCAAGAAAAACCATAGCAGGCTTTTTCTTTTAGGCCACCAAGCAAATCATGACACAGAGACTTATTATTAGTTTTTAATGCCTGCCTTATCTTATGCTCATTTCTTACTAGCTCTTATAACTTAATCTGCTCTTCATCTATGTTTTACCTCAGGGCTTTTACCTTTCTCTAATTCTGTATGTCCTGCTTTCCTGCTTCTCATGACTTCTGGCCCTTGTTCTCCTCTTCTTTCTTTCCTTCTCCTCTCTAAATTCCTCCTATTTGCCAGGTGTTGGTGGCGCACGCCTTTAATCCCAGCACTCGGGAGACAGAGGCAGGCGGATCTCTGTAAGTTCGAGACCAGCCTGGACTACCAAGCGAGTTCCAGGACAGCATCCAAAGTCACAGAGAAACCCTGTCTCAAAAAACCAAAAAAAAAAAAAAAAAAATTAAAATTCCTCCTGTTTATTCTCTCTGCCCACCAGCCCCACCTCTCTCTCTTCTATTGGCCATTCCACTTTTTATTAAACCAATCAAGTGACTTAGGCAACATACCTTTACATAATTAAACAAATGCAGCAGAAACAAATGTAACACATCTTTACATAGTTAAATATTCCACAACAAGCCAGGCGTTGGTGGCGCACGCCTTTAGTCCCAGCACTCGGGAGGCAGAGGCAGGCGGATCTCTGTGACTTCAAGGCCAACGAGGTCTACAGAGCTAGTTCCAGGACAGCCTCCAAAACAATATAGAAAAACCCTGTCTCAAAAAAAAAAATTCCACGCCGGGCGTTGGTGGCGCACGCCTTTAATCCCAGCACTCGGGAGGCAGAGGCAGGCGGATCTCTGTGAGTTCAAGACCAGCCTGGACTACCAAGCGAGTTCCAGGACAGCCTCCAAAGCCATAGAGAAACCCTGTCTCGAAAAACCAAAAAAAAAAAAAAAAAAAAAAAGAAACCCTGTCTAAAAAAAAAAAAAAAAAAAAAACCGAAGGAGAAAAGTAAAGAAAAAGAAGGAAACTATCAAGAGAAAGTATGAGTGTCTTTTCCCCTAACCCCCTCACATAGAAAAGTCTAATACATACCAACACCATGGATTCCTTTCAAGCCCTGTGCTGACTAGAGACTGGTACCCCAGGCAGTAATAAGTACTGCTCTTCCAGAGGACCTGGATTTGATTCCCAGCACCCACATAACAGCTCACAACCATTTGTAAATCACATTCCAGAGGACCCAACACCTTCTTTTGGCCTCTGGGGCCAGGCATGCATGTACATTGAGCACAGACATACATGCAGACAAAATACCCATATACATTTTAAAAATAATATGTTTCTTAGTGGTGTAATTTCAGCCTGGCATTATGGAGTAGAGGTGTAATCCTAGCCTTCAGGCAGTGGGGACAAGAGGGGCTCCTGGTGACAAACAAGTGACAGGTAAGGATGTTCTCAAGTGGGCCATGCCAACCTCCATCCTGAGAACAGAGTCAGTGTATTCCAGGGCTCATTATTTCCCATTTTTGTTTTTCAAGACAGAGTTTCTCTGTAGCTCTGGAGCCTGTCCTAGAACTCACTTTGTAGACTAGGCTAGCCTCGAACTTACGGAGATTTGCCTGTCTCTGCCTCCCATTCTCCATCCATTATGCACTGTTCCCTTCCCACTCCCAGGGATCTTCCTCTTCCCAGCTAATCCCCTTTCTACTTTCATGGGTTTGGGTGTGTGTGTGTGTGTGTGTGTTGTGTTTAAGTTTCAAAGGGCTACTTACAGGAATATGGGTAAGAGGTCAATTACTGAAGAATGGGCACCTTACCAGTGGCAACATCACAGAAGAAAATGTCTCTCCTTTGTCCAGCTATCCTTAACTCCCTATAGATCCTTGGAGGGGAGCTTCCATGAAGGAATGTTGATTGACCCAAATTTCTGCAAGCCTGGTGTAGGTAGGTAATCATAGCTGCTGAGCATCCAAGGGTGTAATGGCCATGTCCTACCCGGGAGACAACATTCCACAACACTCCACCCTTTCATTTGGCTTACATTCTTTCCACTCTCTCTACCACAGTATTCCCTGAGCCTTAGAGGAAGTGATATTGATATCCCATCTAGGGATGAACATTCAACGATCACCTATTCTCTTCACGTTGACCAACTGTAAGTCTCTATATTAACCACTACCTACTGTGAAAAAGAAGCTTCTGTGACCAAAGCTGAGAGCAGCACCAGTCTATGAGCAAAAACATATTTAAAGGCAATTTGACAGGCACATGATGTCCATTTTAGCAAAACAGCAATAGTGTCCCCCTAGGGTTGATAGCCTCTCCAGCCACAGGCTTTTGACCAGTTTTGCGGTACCTGGCATGAATTCACTCTGTGGAACAGGCCTCAACCCCAACTTTTAAAAAATGGTGGTTCCCCCGTTAATGGTTATGCCACCATTGCATCAGTGGGTGTATCCTGCCTGCTAAGTTAATAGTTGTAACACAGTGTCCACAGCTGAGTGACAATGTTGATGACAATTGTTCCCCAGCAGCTTATCCAACACCTGGACATTTTGCTGTGCTAGCCAACAGAAACACATTTAAAAAAAATAAAAAAACAATCTCATGAATGAGTGTCTTAGTTAGGATTTCTATTTCTGTGAGGAGACAGTATGGCTATGGCAGCTCTTATAAAGGAAAACATTTAGTTTGGGGCTGGCTTACAGTTTATAGGTTTAGTTCATTATCATGGAGGGAAGCAGGGCAGGCAATCAGGGTTCTGGAGAAGGAGCTGGGAATTCTATATCTGGATTGGCAGGCAGCAGGAAGAAACTGACACCCTGGTCAGGCTTGAGCATCTAAGACATTAAAGCCTGGCCCCAGTTCACAATTCCTCCGACATGTCACATTTACTCCAACAAGACCATACTTCGACCAGGCGTTGGTGGTGCACGCCTTTAGTCCCAGCACTCAGGAGGCAGAGGCAGGCGGATCCCTGTGTGTTCGAGGCCAGCCTGGTCTACAGAGCGAGTTCCAGGACAGCCTCCGAAACAATACAGAGAAACCCTGTCTCAAAAAACCAAAAAGAAAAAAAAAAAAAAAAAAAGACCATACCTCCTAATCTTGCAACTTTCTATGGGCTTATGGGAACCATTTTTAAAGCAAACCACCACTGTAGTTGAAGAAAACCTTAAACTTCTGATAATCTTGCTTTTACCTCCTGAGTGCTGGGACTACAGATATTTGGTACTAAATTTTGTTTTTGTAGTACTGAAGATTGAATCAAGGGCTTTGTGGTTTTTGTGTTTTTATTTGTTTGGGTTTTTGGGACAGGATTTCTCTGTGAAGCCTTCACTGTCCTAGAACTCACTCTTAGACCAGGCTGGCCTCCATCCAAGAGACCCTCCTGCCTCCTCCCCCTATTACTGGGATTATAGGTGTTTGCCGAAGGAGGCAGAATTTGAATCAGTATCTGCCTGACTCCAAAGCTGCCATGTTCATGTATAGTCCCACAACTGACCAAGCCTGTCCTTAGTGTGCTGACTCCACCTCACCCCACTCTTACAGCCTGTACTGACGTCATCAACAATCCAGATTTTAGTTAGACGGCAGCCAGATATTCCCTTTTCATTTCCTTTCTCCCCTAAAAGGGGAGGGGGTGAGGACACTGCAGCCTGCCATTGTTTTCAGTTTGTTCTTTTCTCTGCTTTGATTTTAGAACCCCAGTTCTTAATATGTGGAAGGTCAGAGTTGAGTGTCCAAGTCAACAAGAATAAGGCCCTTCTTTAAACTAGGGAGTAGTGGAATGGTCAAGCTCTTTACTAATAAGGAGGCCCTGGGCTTGATCCCTAACACTGAGGAAAACAAAACAAAAAAATCAAACCCACTAGGTAGTGGTGGCATTTCAGTCCAGCCTGGTCTACAGAGCAAGTTCAAGGCAGCCAGGGCTACAC